GGTCACGAATCCGTCGATCTTCGGTGAAATCCAGCACAGATTTCCTTCCCAGGAAAGATTACTGATGCCTTCAATTCTCTGGCCAAGAGGAGCAATTTCCGTGCCATCAGCAAGAAGCTGAATTTGGTATGTCGATTCAGGATGGACGGGGAAGCCGTGGGTCCGGTCCTTGGTGGAGAGCTTTGAATCCCCAACATCTCTTTGTTTTTGTTTTTGTTTTTGTTTTAAGATTTTTGTTTATTTATTTGACAGACAGAGATCACAGGTAGGCAGAGAGGCAGGCAGAGAGAGAGGAGGAAGCAGGCTCCCTGCTGAGCAGAGAGCCCGACGCGGGGCTCGATCCCAGGACCCTGGGATCATGACCTGAGCCGAAGGCAGAGGCTTTAACCCACTGAGCCACCCAGGCGCCCCAGCATGAGCTTAATTTAATAATGAGGCAAGAGACAAAGATTCATTCACTTATTAAACCGGAAGAAGCGCCCACGAATGTCAGAGGGGAGGCTGAGTGCCTCATCAGTGACAGACATGTCCCCGTCTCCGGGGGATCGGCAGCGGGGCATCGTTCTTCCCAGCCCTTTGTGGGGAGCCGGGGGAACTTGTTCACGAGAATCAGTGGGTACTGAACAGAAGCTTTAATCTTTGGTTATGGATTTTTTTTTTTTTTTAAGGGCTTTTGCCGGTTTTCTTGCTGAAATAAACCTGCTTTGGGGAATATCCTTTTCTCTGACTGAGTACGAGGCTGGAGAGATGAGTTGTGACGTGCCTCACGTAGCCCCCTTTGCCCTCTAGATCCCACGCGTGGACGGCGAGTATGATCTGAAAGTGCCACGGGACATGGCGTATGTCTTCAGTGGCGCTTACGTGCCCCTGAGCTGCCGACTCATCGAGCAGGTGAGAGGAAGCGACCCGTTCACGTGTTGCCCTCTGCCTTCTCTTGGTCCCTGGTCTGTCCCAACCTCCAGCCACCCCAGTAACTAACAAGAGATCGCGACAGTCTGGCTGCCACGACCTGCCCTTCCTCAGCCGGGTGGGGTCTCAGACTGGCGCCCCGTGCTCGTGCCTCCCAGGTGCTGGAGCGGCGGAGCTGGCAGGGGCTGGACGAAGTCGTGCGGCTGCTCAACTGCAATGAGTTGGCCTTCACAGGTGCGCCGCGCTGGCCCCATTGGGCAGGTTGGGGGGTTGTTGGCGGTGCCACCGGGGGCGGGCAGGGGGTGCTGGGGGTGCCAGCGGGGGTGGGGGTGGGTGTTGCTGGGGGCGCCGCCCAGGGCCGGCCACCACGGAAGAGCTGAGTCTGGCCCGACCCCCGCAGATGTGACCAAGGAGGACAAGGCTTCCAGCGAGTCTTCGCGCCTCATCATGGTGGTGTTCTTGGGTGGTTGCACGTTCTCAGAGATCTCGGCCCTCCGGTTCCTGGGCAGGGAGAAAGGTAAGAGAAAACAGAAAGGGGAACCTGGGGGTCAGAGGCCGGTGCCCAGAAGGCTTCTCGACCTCTGATCTGCTCCTGGTCCCGAGTGCTGGCGCATTTGACCCCACAGGGTACAGGTTCATTTTTCTGACGACGGCAGTCACGAACAGCGCTCGCCTTATGGAAGCCATGAGTGAGGTAAAAGCCTAAAGTTGTCCCTGCTGGTGTCGACGTCTTCCCTGGACACGTTTCCCGATGGGATGCAGGAATGTGGTCCCAGCTGCTAACCAAGTGTCCACCAGCTACCCTCCTGAGAGCCGGGAGCACGGAACTTACTCCGGATTTAGAGAAGTTACCTGAGGACAGCGCTCACTTCTGGCCCCCAGGATAGGTCTCTGTTTTGTGTATGAAGTACAGCTTGTGCTGAAAAGACAAGAGGAGGAGGAGGTATCTTTTGCTAAATCCTGTCTGAGTATCATTGTCGATAAAACCTCTACTCTCCAGTGTCACGTTCAGTTCTCAACACGCTCTTCCGTTTTCTTAGCAAAGCACAGGGGGCTTCATGGGTTCTGTGGTCTGGACTCTACAGTAGGTCTGGGCCTGGTCTGCTTCTCTCCTGAAACTTGCCCTGTATCAGAGTTTCCTCAACCGTCAAACGAGGGGGATGGGTTAAAGAGATGATCGGCAAGCACCCTTCTGGTTCTAAAATTCTGCAGTTTATCATACTTTATTTATTAAAAAGATTTTATTTATTTGACACACAGAGATCACAAGCAGGCAGACAGAGAGAGAGGAGGAAGCAGGCTCCCTGCTGAGCAGAGAGCTGAATGTAGGACTCGATCCCAGGACCCTGGGATCATGACCTGAGCCACAGGCAGAGGCTTTAACCCACGGAGCCACCCAGGCGCCCCCATCATACTTCATTTTTTTAAGTAAACCTTTGCCTAATGTGGGGCTGAAACTCATGACCCTGAGGTCAGTGGTCATACAGTCTACCAACTGAGCCAGCCAGGAGCCTCTCGTGATTCATTATACTTTAGAAAAGATGAGTTTGTTACTGTTTTAACTTCAGGAGGCACTCTGGTATTAAGCCGTTGTCTCTTACTGCAGAATGAAGGACTGTGTCCTGTTAGAGCAGGCTCGGGCATCAGCTAACAGTGCTGCTAAAAAGGCCACCAGTGCCTCCCCCCCCACCCAGTTGCTGATTTTGGTGGCCTTTCTGTCCCTTGACCTTTTAAAAATTGTAAACTGTAACCACATCCATCAGTCTCTTTTTGGTCCTCCTCTAACTTGACCTTCCTGACAACTGCTTTTCCTTTCTTCTGCTCAGCTTCCATGACACTCTTTTGTTGTTCTTCTATGGTCTCCTGGGCTGTGCTTCTGTCTCCTTGGATTGCTTGTCTCTGCCTGTCCCCTCCCTGTCCTTTGTTGTCAGCTGCTTCCAGATCCCAAGCTCTCCTCTTCCTGCTGAGTTTCACGCTGGTATTTCCAACTTGGTCATTCCACAGGCCCTTCAAACTCGACATGTCTAAAATAAACTCTCCAACTGAACTTCCTGTCCTCACTTTGAATCCCCCAATCTGCTCCTCCTGTGTTCTGGTAATTGACATCCTCATCATCTACCCAAGTCTTGTGTATGAAAGAAATTATAACCTTGACCTCAGATGTTTTCTTTTATCCCCCACATTCAGCTGGTTCCACTACCCCTTATTTCTACATGCCTCTGGCTCATCCTCTCCTCACCATCCCCATGCCAGAGATCCTGACTATTTTTTGCCTGGGTTTTTGCAAGACTGTCCCTTCCAATCCCTCTGCTTCCTATCTGCCACTTACTAGAAGATCCAAATCTGTGTTGTTGGATCATCAAAACAATTCTTTCATAAAGGAGTGCTGTTATCAGTGCGTATTCTAAGGAAAATGTATACCTCAGGTATCCAGCTAGAATTTGTTAGAATTTTTATGTTAAGCTAGTGTGCAGGATCAAAGACACCACTGACAGGGGTGTTAGTCTGCATAAAGAATATGTGACAGACAACGATTCTGTGACCAAGGGAACAGACCGTGGCAACACATTGCACTTATGTTCTAGAACAATGCCGTCCAATCCTGTAACAGGGTCCTACTTACACTCCACACAGTGTTTTACATGTTGAGTATATGCTCTGAGTGGGTATCTCTGTGACTTCATTGGCTTCAGAACCACGGTGCAATGGACATGATAGCAAAATTGTCTTATCTCAGGGTGCTTATGATGCTGGCCCTGGGAACATGCCTGAAGATCACAAGGTTTTGAAGCTTTCTGAATAACTTTTAAGTCAATCAACAAAGTGCAAGTAAATTTCAAAAGTGTCTGCATTTCTCTCCATCAGCAGCGTGAATGTCTGGAGGGCTGCTGACATGTTAAAGGATGTCAAAAGCTCCAGTTAAGTCTTTCTGAAAGTGGGAGAAACAGGTGAAGCAAACAAGCATCCTTTACTTTTCCTTCCTGGAAAAGGCAAATGAAAAGGAGTCACAGAAGTCATAGATGGCCAGTACACTCAGGGAAAATGCAATTTCAGCTAGAAGTCAGCAAGTGCAAATCAAAGAAGGGAATGACACTTTCTGCCTATGAAATTAGCAGAGATTTAAAAGGACAGTAAGACTCAAGAGGAGTTGAGGGTGAGAGGTGGGTGTGCTTCTGGTAAGGCTTCCTTAGTGGGAAGGGCAAATTAATTCAGTCCTTCTGGAGGGAGAGCGTTCAGTAGCTACTCTTCTAGGAATCAAATGTAAGAAAATAATGCAAGATGTAGATTTATTCATGAAGACATTTATTTGTAAAATTTAAACTCCAAATGTCCATTTGTATCAAAACAGATTATGAGATAACCTCGAGCCACAATATCATGCAACTGTGAATCAATGGAAAACAAGGCTATACATAAGCATTTGGGGATGTAGCGTATGTTCAGCGAAAAAAGGATACAAAAGTGCTTTGATGTCGATTTTGAGTTTTAAAGTTTTTATACAACTACAAACCCCTGTAATTTGAAAGAACCATGCCCAGGTGATATGCATTTGTGTGCCAGTCATGTGACCCGGGCAAGCCCCTTAAACCTTTAAGAGCCGGTTCTCTCCTGCGTAAAATGGCGATAATACCAAACGGGGCTGTCGTGCGGATTAAATGGGATCGCTGTCTAGAAAGATGCCAAGCTCGCCATCTGCCTCCGCGAGGGCAGCGGGTTAAAGCGAAAGGCTTTTCCCTGAGCCCGCTCCTGCCCTTCCGATTGGCTGCGGTTCTCGCCCCTTCCCGGCGGCCCCCGGGCGGCGCCCAGAGCTTCGAATCCAAACAGTGACCGGGCGGGGCGGCGGGGAGGGACGTCCCCCCAGGCTCAGTCGGCTTTCCCCCGCGCACGCGCAGACGGCGACCCCACCGCCAGTCGGCCGGCTAGCGTTTCCCACGCCCAGCGCGCGGCCCCCCACCCCGCCCCGGCTCCGAGCCCCGAAGCGCCGCGACGCAGTGGGCGCTCGCGGCTCACGCCCCAGGAGGCGGGGCTTCTCGAGGAGCGACGGGGCAGAGCGCCAATCGCGGGGCTGCTCCGCCTTCAGGCTCAGTTTGAAATTCCGCGGTGACCTAACGGCTCGCGGAGCGGCGGCCAGGAAGAACACAGTGGTCTTTGCGGGGGTTGGCTGCGCTCAGCCCCGCGTGGAGGAGGTCTGGGGCCTCGACGGCCGGCTGCTTGGAGCGTCCGCCATGAGGAGAAGGTGCGGGCTGCGGAAGGGTCGAGGGGCCGCGGGAGGGAGCGACCCCCGTCCCGGGCGCGGCGTCCCCGGAGCGCGGGTGTCACGGCAGGCCGCGCCGAGTGAGGCCCGGGCGCGGCCGGCAGGGCTGGGGAGCGCTGAGCTGGTGCTCGGGGCGGGGGCGGCAAGGCCTGCTGCGCACCGGCCCCGACGGCCGCGGGCTCCGGTGGCTCCAGAAGCCTGGACGCGCCGGGTGTCCGCGAGCCCCGCCCGCTCGCCTCAGGTGCTGCTTCTTGGCATCCACGGCCTGTTCGAAGTCCTGCGTCTTCTGTGGTCCGGTTTCGCGCTTCTCTTTACGGTCGTCAGCTGTTCCGTTTCTCCGTGTCTCCCGCGGGGCCGGGCTGCGGCGCTAACGTTTTAGCTGATGCGGTCGGGAGCCGGGTTCCTTGCAAGTTCAGGAGCGCCGTTAAGGAATTCCTCTCCGGTGTTTTTCACGATTCCCCCGGCCCTGCTGGGGAGGGGGCGCCGCCGACTTGAAGTAGGGGCCAGACTCGTCCGCACACCGAATGTCACTTGTCTCTTCTCCCCTTTGTCCCCTCCCCTCGATTTTCCCTGCACAGCACTTACTGGCATTTAGTGGAAGGTTTGCTTATTAACCAATTTTCTTTTGCTCTCAGAATGTCAGCAGCAAAAGGGGAGGGGTGTCAGCTTTGTGCTAAAATAAGGAAGATACCAGGGCATAGGACTCCTGTGTAAAGAGCGATAAAAACGTTAACGCTACGTTCTGAAAGAGGTGGGCGAGGCACTGTGATGATTCATTATTTGTGGTTATTGGTCAGACTGATTGCTCTGTGGCTGTAGAAAGTTCTTCCTTCCATAATTACTAATTCCCGTCGTTCCTTTTCAATTGCTTGCCTCCCGGGGAATGGGAATGGAGTACAAATCATGGTACCATTTGAAAAAACAGCCAGGGTTTTAAAATAACTTCAGTTGGGGCGCCTGGGTGACTCAGTGGGTCGGGCCTCTGCCTTAGGCTTGGGTCATGATTTCAGGGTCCTGGGATGGATCCCCACATCTGGGCTCTCTGCTCCGCGGAGAGCCTGCTTCCCCCTTTCTCTCTCCCTGCCTCTCTGCCTACTTGTGATTTCTCTCTCTCTGTCAAATAAATAAATAAAATCTTGGGGAAAAAAGAGAAAAAATAAAAAACTTCAGTAAAGCTGTCTTTTTTTAAAAATCTGGCACATAATCTGCAGTGTTTTTTGGTTTGTGACTTAATTGAAAAACAGCTATGTTTACTAATGTAGCCAAATTACTTTTACAGAGCTAAATGACAGGAGATTTGTAGATCTCAGAGCCAATTAAAACCAAAACAAATGTCTGTACAGCAACAGACTGCTGGCCTCCAGGAGCCAGAGGGGCCACTAACTAAAAGCAGTATGCACACAATTGTTATAATGAAAAAGTTAACCATCTTTTGGATTCGATTACTTTAACAAATCTTACTGGGCCTGTTGAAAAACGGGCGTTTGGAATTACAAATCTAGAGACCCTTCTCACTTGAGTACTGTTTTCAAAGAATTAGAAAAATGTTCCACCCTTCACAACATTCATACTAATTCTTGTATCCCCTCTTTCTCTCATTTCTGACATTAGCCTTAATTTTCGAAAGACAGCCACAGTCTCACTCCTCCCCAGCTCTGCTGCCACTGCCCTGGTCCAGGTCACCACCATTGTTGTCTCTTGCTGTGTTCCCCTGGCCTCTTAACTGGTCTCCCTACTTCTGCCTTTTTCTCCTGATGCTTCTTGTCAACACAGGAGCCAAAATCCTCCGGTGATTTCATATTTTAGAGTAAAAGCCTCTGTGTTTTACAAAGGCCTCTGGCGTCCTGCTGTACTCTGCACCAGTCATACCAGAGTCCTTGCTCTCTTTGGAACCTACCAGGGACCATCCCATCTCAGGCATTGGCATTCGCTGTTCCCTCTACCTGGATCTCTCTTTCCCAACATGTGCCATGACTTGATTCCTTACCTCTCTCTTTGCTCAAAGATCACCTCAGGGAGAACTTACTACCATTTAATGTAAGATTTGCTTACATTTGCTTTTCTTTTACTATTAGAATGTAAACCCCAAGAGGGCAGGGATATCAGTTTTGTTCAGTGCTGAGTTCCAACACTTAGAATGTGCCATGTGTATAATAAATATTCAAGTAGTAGTTTTGAATGAATAACTTATGTTTCAAAAAAGTATGATCATAAGATGCCTTAGTGCATTCACTGGGAATAATAATTCTCTTGGTTCAATTAGACACCGCCTGTAAACAGATTCAGGTAATTTCCCTAAAAGTACAAGTTTGAGATTTTTATTCTCCTAACACATCACTGGAAAGCGGAGGATACTTAGAAGGATACCTCCCAAGGACGCAAACGGTTGTAAAAAGATCCAGTCTTCCCAATCTCTTGAAACTAAGTCACTGGACTGGAAAAGATCTCAGATGGTCTTTAAAGTGATTTCTAACCTTTCGTGTAGCATACAGTCTGATGGGTTTTAGTACATTCACGGAGTCATGCGGTTATCACTACAGTCAGTTTTAGAACATTTTTATCATCTCGCTGACCCATTAGAGGTCAGTCTTTCGGGCAGGGAGCCTGCTTCCCCCTCTCTCTCTGCCTGCCTCTCTGCCTACTTGTGATCTCTCTTTCTCTCAAATTTAAAAAAAAAAAAAAAAAGTATATGAGTTTTGCATGGACATGTTTTCATGTCTCTTGGGTCAATACCTACGGAACGGAATTTCTGGGTTATCTGGTAACTGTTCAACTGAGAAACTGCTAGACTTTTTTTTTTTTTTTTTTAAGATCTTATTTATTTGTTTAACAGAGATCACAAGTAGGCAGAGAGGCAGGCAGAGAGAGAGAGAGAGAGGAAGGGAAGCAGGCTCCCTGCTGAGCAGAGAGCCAGATTCAGGCTTGATCCCAGAATCCTGTGATCATGACCTGAGCCGAAGGCACAGGCTTTAACCCACTGAGCCATCCAGGTGCCCCACTGCTAGACTTTTCCAAAGAGGCTGCACCATTGTACATTTCCGCCAGCAGTGTATGGGGGCTTCCAATTTCCCCACATCCTTGCCAACACTTGTTATTGTCTTTTTTTTTTTTTTTTTTTTTTTTTGTAACTGTCTTTTTTCTTATAGCCATCTTGGTACCTGTGAAGTGTATCTCTCTGGTTTTGATTTGCATTTCGCTAGTGGTCAGTGTGTTTTCACATGCTTATTGGCCATGATAGATCTTCTTTGGAGAAATGTCTATTCCGATTCATTTCCCATGTGCTAGAATTTTATGCTTCAAAAGAGTGATCACTTTACCTTCTAAATGTTTTACAGAGCTAGGCAGCAGAGCTTTGAAATCTCTCTGTATGTGAGAGCTTATAAACTGAAGGTAGCTGGATGTTAGAGGCATAATGAGCCTTTGGTGGGAACTCAAGGCCATTCATTTTCCATTTATTGAACAATTGCTGTGCATTATGGTCTGGAAAAATGAACACGGATAAGATCTGGCAGTCCTTGGTCTTGAGTCTGTGGTCTACAGAGTGGATGGGGGCGGTGGGGATGGGGGGATGACTGTGAGGAATCCACAGCTGTCCAAAGAAGGTGATGGCAAGTGGAGGTAATGTACAGAAGCATGGTGGCTTCAACAGCTGAGACCTGCACACGGCTGAGTGAGGGGCATGTCCGGGAAATGCTCATAGGTTCTGTTGGCCAGAATCTTAGGGAGTGAGCTGTGAGAGAGATTAAGAGACAAACCTCGGGGCACCTGGGTGGCTCAGTTGGTTGAGTGTCTGCCTTTGGCTCAGGTCATGATCCCAGGGGCCTGGGATCAAGTCCCACATCCGGCTCCCTGCTCGGCAGGGAGTCTGCTTCTCTGTCTCCCTCTGCCTGCACTCCCCATGCTTGTGCTTGCGCCTGCTCTCTGTCTCTGTCTCAAATAAATACAATATTTTTTTTGAAATGAGACAAAACTCCAGAGAGGTTTTGAAAGCCTTTCTGAAAGTGGTTGAACTGTTTGCTGAGGGTGATGGGAAACTTTGAAGGGAGTAGTCCAGCAAAGGCCTGATTGGATTTTGTTTTCTAGAGATCCTAGCTGCAGAACTGTGCGATTGGCTAGGATGGGGTGGACCAGACTGGAAGAGACTGCAGAGCGCTGTCTGGAGTCGTGTCCCTCAGAGCAGTGGCCCAGTCTAGTTGGGCTCAACACCGGGCTTTTGCATTCAGATTGGATACTGACCACAGATGAAGTCTTGTAGGTTTTGTTTTTGTTTTTAAGATTTTAATTATTTATTTATTTGAGAGAGAGAGAGAGGGAGAGTGGAGAGGGAGAGGAAGAAGCAACTCCCTGCCGAGCAGAGAGCTCCATGTGGGACTCGATCCTAACACCCCGAGATCATGACCTGAGCTGAAGGCAGATGCTTAACCGACAGAGCCTCCCAAGGCACCCACTATCGGTTATTTTTAATAAAATTCAAAGATTAGAATTTTGACTTACGCATTCCTTTGTCTTAAAATTGGGTTGCCTGTGGAGACTCAGAAGTTAAACTTCAGTTGAGATTAGAATAATTAACATTAGTTGATTGAGATTAAACAAATGCCTTAGTTACCTGTTCCCATTTCTAAAATGAATGGAGTACAGTAAATTCTTTGAAACATTATTCGCTATCTGGGTATTGATATTGGCCATCTGGTAGAGGCTACTGGTGTTTGTGCCAAAGCTTTTCTTTATGTAGGAGAGGCAACCTTTTTATTTTTGTTGTTTTGGTTTTGATTTTATTTATTTGACAGAGATCACAAGTAGGCAGAGAGGCAGGCAGAGAGAGAGAGAGGCAGAAGCAGACTCCCCACTGAGCAGAGAGCCCGATGTGGGGCTCTATCCCAGGACCCTGGAATCATGACCCGAGCTGAAGGCAGAGGCTTTAACCCACTGAGCCACCCAAGGGCCCCCAATTTCTGCCTTTTTTTTTTTAATTTTTATTTTTTATAAACATATATTTTTATCCCCAGGGGTCCAGGTCTGTGAATCGCCAAGTTTACACACTTCACAACACTCACCATAGCACATACCCTCCCCAATGTCCATAACCCCACCCCCTTCTCCCAACCCCCCCTCCCCCCAGCAACCCTCAGTTTGTTTTGTGAGATTAAGAGTGACTTATGGTTTGTCTCCCTCCCAATCCCATCTCAATTTCTGCTTTTTAAATGTTATGTGAAGCAGACTAATGGTTAGCCTTTTTTTTTTTTTTTTAAGATTTTATTTATTTATTTGACAGAGATCACAAGTGGGCAGAGAGGAGGTGAGGGCAGGGGAGCAGGCTCCCTTCTGAGCAGAGATGCCAATGTGGGGCTTGATTCCAGGACCCCGAGATCATGACCTGAGCCAAAGACAGAGGCTTAACCCACTGACCCACCCAGGCGCCCCTGGTTAGCATTTTTAAAGTAAACTTTTTAAAGACAAATTAGAAGGTGCCCAGTTAAATTTGCATCAGATAAACAATGCATTTTTTAAAATAAACTTTTTTTTTTTTTTAAAGATTTTATTTATTTATTTGAGAGAGAGACAGTGAGAGAGAGCATGAGTGAGAAGGTCAGAGGGAGAAGCAGACTCCCCATGGAGCTGGGAGCCCGATGCGGGACTCGATCCCGGAACTCCGGGATCATGACCTGAGCCGAAGGCAGTCGTCCAACCAACTGAGCCACCCAGGTGTCCCTAAAATAAACTTTTTGTAATTGAAGAATAACATACAGAAATGTGCATAAATGGAAGTGCCAACTCCATCAATTTTCACAAAGTCAGCACACACCTGTGTAACCAGTGCTCCTTGTATCCCTGCCCATTCACCACCGCCCAGGACAATGGTGACCACCGACCACCGTCCTGACTGCTGAAAGCATACCTTGGTTTTGCCTGTGTTTGAATTTTGTATAAATGGAATCACATGGTGATAAATGCTGCTTGACTTGCTTGTTTCGTTCAAACCAGTTTTCCTTTTCTTCCCTAACTTTTCTTTTTTTTTTTTCCACATTATTTTTGTTTTACCCCCCCGCCGTTTAAAGATTTTACTTATTTATTTATTTGGGGGAGAGAGAGAGAGAGAGACTGCTCATGCATGAGTGGGAGGGGGAGCAGAAGGAGAGAGAATCTCAAGCAGACTCTGAGCCTGAGGCAGGGCTTGATCTCACAACCCTGAGATCATGACCCTACCTGAAATCAAATGTCAGACACCCAACCGACTGAGCCACCCAGGGGTCTCATACCACCTGGGTTTTTTTTATTGTTGATGTTTTATTTTTTAAGATTTGAGGTATAATTTGCATACAGTAAAATTAACTCATTTTACATGAACAGTTTGAATTTTGGTCGTTGTATACAGTTAGGTGATCATCGTAAGATCTAGGACCATTCTGTCACTGTAAAAAAGTTTCCTTGTGCCTTTTTGCAGTGGATCTGCTGCTCTGATCCCAGGCTTTCTTTCACTATAGTTTACTTTTTCTAGAATTTCACAAAATGAAATCCTGTACGATGTAGCGTTTTGGCATTTAACTTCTTTCATTTAGCGTAGTCCATGTGATGTTTCTGAGACTCAGCCTTGTGGTTCATTGCTACGTCATTATCATATCTGTTCATTGCTATGTTATTCCCTGGTAGGAACGGACTGTTTACTCTGTGGGTGGACATCGGGTTGTTTCTGTTCTTACGCCCCTAGGACTAGCGCTGCTCTGACCCTCCCTGTGCGTGTCTTTACCCGGTACGTGTTGGTTTCTGCCGGCCCCGCGTGTAAAAGTGCACCTGCGAGGCTCGGCTTCAGCAGGTGCTGCGGCAGTTTTCACAGCGGTGTCCCAGCTTCCACTCCGGGCCGGGAGTGTATGAAGGGCCTGGTCTTCCTGTGTCCTCACTGACACTTGATGTTTGTCTTGTGTAATCTGAGCCCTTCTCGAAGTCAGTGGCTGTAACTTCAGAACAACCAGACTGCAGTGAGTTGCCGTTTCACAAGAGCTTCTCCCGGAGCAGGCTCTTGTGTTTGGCGGGAGTTCATTTTGTCTGGTTTATCTTTCCTTTTTAAGTAGTCTCTGCACCCAGCGTGGGGCTCGAACTCACAGTCCTGGGTTCAAGACTCCTATGTTTTGCTGACTAAGCCAGCCAGGCGCCCCCGTTTTTCTTTATAATTCTGTGTTGTCCTGCCATAGGTAGAACTGTTGATGAAAGTCCTGGTTCTGGCTATTACTGAGAGGACTGAATTTCCGGGACACCGGGGTGGTGCACTTGGTTAAGCGTCTGACTCTTGATCTCAGGTCGGGTGTTGATCTGGGGGTCATGGATTCAAGCCCCACGTTGGGTTCCACGCTGGGCGTGGAGCGAGGACTTGGAGTAGAGCGAGGACTGTTGGTTTTCATTGGTTAGGTGATGTTCTTAGGATTATTAGGATGAGGATTTTTTTTAATGTAAAAAAAAAAAAAAAGAAGGAGATTGAATTTCCCCAGTGTAAGGCGATACTGAATTTGGCTTTGCCAGTGTTGTGTTTTGGAGAAGAGAGGTTAAAGCTGAATGCGGGTTTTTGATTTGTTTTAGCCTGAGGCCACTGAGAAACTAGTCTATTCAGTTTTTGTAAATACTGCTTTTAGTCTGGAGGCAGTGGCTCATGTTACTGGCTTCTCTTTTACTTTTCAGTGAGGTACTGGCAGAGGAGTCGATAGTATGTCTCCAGAAAGCTCTGAATCACCTGCGGGAAATCTGGGAATTGATTGGGATTCCGGAGGACCAGCGGTTACAACGAACTGAGGTTGTGAAGAAGCACATCAAGGTGAGCTGAGTCGTACTGGTCTGTTTGTAGTGGGACAGCAGTGCGGAGACTGGTGTCCCTTCGTGAGAACTGGGGAAGTGACACTGGAACATCACAGGCTCTTCCTGGTTTTGTTTCTATTTAAGCCCTTTCTTATGAATTTGTAATTATGGGACGCCTGGGTGGCTCAGTGGGTTAAAGCCTCTGCCTTTGGCTCAGGTCATGATCTCAGGGTCCTGGGATTGAGCCCCACATCAGGCTCTCTGCTCAGCAGGGAGCCTGCTTCCCCCTCTCTCTCTGTGTGCTGCTCTGCCTACTTGTGATCTCTGTCAAATCAATAAATAAAATCTTTTTAAAAAAAGAATTTGTAATTATGAAGGTTTTGGTGTTATTGGTTTGGGTTTTTTTTTCCCATTGACCCCAACCTTTTAAGGGACTTCTTTCTCTCTTGTAGGACCTCCTGGATATGATGATTGCCGAAGAGGAAAGCCTGAAGGAAAGGCTCATCAAAAGCATTTCCATCTGTCAAAAAGAGCTGAATACGCTGTGTAGCGAGTTACATGTCGAGCCATTTCAGGTACATAGCGGGGGACTTTGGGGGCTCCTGCTGGGTCTGAGATTGAGGAAGGACTCTGTCTTGGGGCTCCAGTGGAAGATTTCCTTGTAGAATCTTGGCTATAGAAAGTGGGGAGAATTTACCACCTAGTCAGTTTGTTCCAGCAACTTCCACTTATGTAAAGAGTTGCCCTGTTGCGAGGTGGAAGAGCTGGTAAGTGCTACCATCCTTCCATCCAAACCAGCTTCCTCTTGCTATCATTGTAGGGCGTAGAACTTCCTTTTTTTTTTTTTTTTTTTAAGGTAGGTATGGATGCATGATGCTATTCTTTCTCTGAAAGCAAATGAAAAACACTACCCAGGAAGCAAAAGTGACTAGTGATACAAGGGAAAGTTACAAAAAGACCTGCCTTTGTGGTGTTGCTCATACCGCGCAGCTATGTGCCGAGGACCAGCCAGAACTTGGCTGGGGGAGAGAGGTCTCAAGGGCCGGGGTGTCCGGGCGGCAGAGTCAGGCCGAGGGCCTGCGGGGTTTGCTGCGGGCCAAGGAGGAGCCCAACAAGGACGAAATGAGTAACAGGATAGGGGTCCAAAAGGTGTCCCTGGGGAGAACCAGTAGAAATAGTGTTGGGATCATAAAAATGAAAACCAGCGTGGAGCTTGGGGAGGTGTTTGGAATGGCTGTAAGTGCAGGGGCAGCGCACAGTGCCGTGAGATTCCGGGGTCCCTCTCTCTGTTACAGCAAGAAATACGTGGGTGTCTAGGAGGGAGTTTCTTCCTTTTCTTTTCCCTTCTTCCTTTCTTTCAAAAGATTTTATTTATTTGAGAGAGAGAACACAAGGGGGGCTGGGGCAGAGGAAGACAGAGAAGCAGACTCCCCGCTGAGCAGGGAGCCCGATGCGGGGCTCAATCCCAGGACCTTGGATCATGACCTGAGCCGAAGGCAGATGCTTAACCGACTGAGCCCCACAGACATCCCCGAGACCGCCTTTAAAGGGTTAAGGATAATTCATACCTGGTGGCCAAGAGCAGTCAGATCATGACATTAGTGGAATTTCCTGGAATCTACAGAAATGGCATATATATTGTTGATTTTATTTATTTATTTATTTATTTTTAAAGATTTTATTTATTTATTTGACAGAGACACAGCGAGAGAGGGAACACAAGCAGGGGGAGTGGGAGAGGGAGAACCAGGCTTCCTGCTAAACAGGGAGCCAAATGTGGGGCTCGATCCCAAGACCCTGGGATCACGACCTGAGCCAAAGGCAGATGTTTAATGACTGAGCCACCCAGGCGTCCCTATATCATTGATTTTAGACAAATAGTGGTTTTTTTTTTTAATATTTTATTTATTTATTTGACAGAGATCACAAGTAGGCAGAGAGGCAGGCAGAGAGAGAGAGAGAGGAGGAAGCAGGCTCCCCACTGAGCAGAGAGCCCGATGCGGGGCTTGATCCCAGGGTGCTGGGACCACGACCTGAGACCGAAGGCAGAGGCTTTAACCTACTGAGCCACCCAGGCGTGCCGACAAATAATTTCTTTAGTGTGTTTTTTTTTTTTTTTTTAATTTTCGGTGTGAAATTAGGTAAGAAGTTAGATATACAGTGATAGATCTTCCTCAGATTACATGATAGTCTTTTTTCACCAATGTTGAATAAAATCGTGTAAATTTTTAAGTCCTATACTTGCCACTTTTTTTCCTCTTAATATGTTGGAGTAGAGCAAAGACTATTGATTTTTATTGGTTAGGTGATGTTCTTGGGATTATTAGGATGAGCGTCACGTCTTGAACTAGATTTACTCTTCGATAGCTAACTCAACGCAAGCTTTCCAACCACTTTTCACCTCTTACAAGAGTGTCCTGGTACCTTTCCTTATTTAAGACCTTTCTTAGGGAACCCTCTTGGTGCCACATTTTGCTGGCCATGAGTTGACTTATTTGTAAGTTTAACTAAAAGTCTGTCATCCAAGGGGGTACCTGGGTGGCTCAGTTGGTCAAGCATCTGCCTTTGGCTCAGGTGATGATCCCAGAGTCCTGGGATTGAGTCCCACGTCAGGCTCCCTGCTCAGTGGGGAGTCTGCTTCTCCCTCTGCCCTTCACATGTGCGCATGCTCTCTCTCATTCTTTCTGTCTCAAATAAATAAATCTTAAAAAAAAAAAAAACCTCTCACCCTAGCCCTCTTCCATTGTCCTTCTCTTCATTTGAAGAGATCCACGTGGAACCTTCTCACAATGGTGCACTGTCTCCTGCAGGAAGAAGGAGAGACGACCATCTTGCAGCTAGAAAAGGATTTGCGCACTCAGGTAGAACTGATGCGAAAACAGAAAAAGGAGCGAAAACAGGAACTGAAACTACTTCAAGAACAAGATCAAGAGCTGTGTGAAATTCTCTGTATGCCCCACTATGACGTCGACAGCTCCTCGGTTCCCAGCTTAGAAGAGCTGAGCCAGTTCAGACAACACGTGGCCACGCTGCGGGAAACGAAGGTAAGTGCTGGTGTTCACACTTCCTGCAAGTCAGTTTGACTTTCTCGTAGGTACTTGTAATCATTTTATTTCGTAGGCGTCTAGACGTGAAGAGTTCGTCAACATAAAGAGACAGATCGTCCTGTGTATGGAGGAATTAGATCACACCCCAGACACGAGCTTTGAAAGGGATGCGGTGTGTGAAGATGAAGACGCCTTTTGTTTGTCTCTGGAGAATATTGCGACACTACAGAAGCTGCTTCGGCAGGTAATAACCGCTCACGGTACCGCCTGGTTCTCTAGTGTCCAGAGATTTGAAAAAAATGGCAGTTATTTCTTAAATAAGTCTGTGTAAGTTAAAAGAAAGGGAGGGTAGAGACAGTGAATGATATATAACCTTGAGGGGGGGTTGTCTTTTTTTCTTTTTTCTTTTTTTAACAAAATACTTATTTGTGGCTCTAAGAATGAAATTGAAATTTTGGATGAAATACTATTAGTCATGTGAATTAGCTTTGTATTTAATTTTTTAAATTAAAAATCTGAATTCTAATTCTTGGGGTTTGAGATCCTACCATAATGGCAGCCATACAGTTTGTGTCCAGAAGTCATGAAACCACACTTCTTCACAATCTAGTAAAAGTGCTGCTTCTCCGTGTGGGTCCAGACATTTCTTTGCAGGAAGCCACAGGGGTGGCCTTCTTTGTGCTGCTGTCTTTGCCATAACCATTGGCTCTCCTTGCTACAGCTGGAAATGCGAAAATCACAAAACGAAGCAGTGTGTGAGGGTCTGCGAGCTCAGATCCGAGAGCTCTGGGACAGGTTGCAGATACCTGTGGAAGAGAGAGAAGCTGTGGCCACGGTTATGACTGGGTCAAAGGCCAAGGTCAGGAAAGCGGTAAGAAATCCAATGGGCACTGGGTCGGCAGTCTCTACCAGTGTCAGGTATATTGTCTTCAACACCGTCTGCCTCGAGTGAGCCTGTTTTTTGTTTTGTTTTAAAGATTTGAGAGAGAGCGAGCGAGCATGTGTGCAGAGTGTGCAAGAACATGAGTGGGGCCGGGGAGAGGGAGAAGCAGGCTCCCTACTGAGTAGGGAGCCTGATGCAGGGCTCGATCCCAGGGGATCACGGGGATCGTGACCTGAGCTGAAGGCTGACACTAAACCATCTGAGCCACCCAGGTGCTCTGCGAACCTGGTTTTAAGGCAGGCATTAGACAGGGGTGGCTGTAGCCTGCTTGTCTTCTGTCCTCTGTGTACTTTTCTTAGGTTTCTGGCTCTCGTGATAACAGTGTTATAAAAAGTGTTGATTGAGGCACCTGGGTGGCTCAGTGGCTCGGGTGTTCAGCTGTTGATTTTGGCTCAGGTCATGATCTCAGGGTTGTGGGATCAAGCCCCACACCCAGCTTGGAGCCTGCTTGGGATTCTCTCCCTGTCTGCTATTATATGTGTGGGTTCTCTCTCTCTCTCTCTCTCTTTCTCAAAAAAAGTGTTGACTGACCCCTGTGGCTTGGTGTTGTAATTTTATTTTAGCAGGGTGGGGGGTTGGGGGACCTTTGAACTTCTGTATTCCTGCATGAAAGTCCACGATGGCAAGCACCTTTACCGAGTCTCTCTGTCACAGCTGCAGTTGGAAGTGGATCGGTTGGAGGAACTGAAGATGCAAAACATGAAGAAAGTGATTGAGGCAATTCGAGTGGAGCTGGCTCAGTACTGGGACCAGTGTTTCTACAGCCAGGAGCAGAGACAGGCTTTTGCCCCTTACTACGCGGGTTCGTACGCCAGCGGCGGTTTCCTGTGACGCCCTCACTTGTCTTTTATGAGGGCAGACATTCACCAGCACATATTTCCTCCGCTGCCTTTTCAAGCCACGTAGCGTTAACTGCCATTCCTGTATAATTAACATGTGCAGATGCCGCTAGGAAATAAGGGGGCCTTGATTTCCGAAGTAGTAAGTCACCGTAGCCTGTCGTTGTGAGGCTCAGGTCTGTCAGGAGCTCACCCCGTGCCAGGTGCAGTGTCAGACTCCTGACGCCACCGCCTCACTTAATCCTCACCTCAGGAGATGAGGACACGAGGGCACGTAAATGTTTGGCAACTTAACCCTGAGGCGCAGGGCAGGTAAACCTCAGAGCCCACGTTTGAGCCCATGGAGTGCATCCCCCAGAGCTCGGCGGAGCTCTAGCCTGAACTGAACTGAGCATAAAGATGAGATTGTACTAGGTTTTTAGACATTTTCCGTGAGCAGGATGGAAAGGAAGACGGTGAGGGAAACCGAGAACAGGGCAAGAGGTGACACAGCTTTGAGAATCTTCGTCATTGTGCCCCACACCCTAGCCCCTCACTCCCTGCTCCCCGCAGACTGAGCGTGTGACAGAGCTGGCTCTGTCGTCCACAGCGTACACTTATTCACGTGTCGCTTTTACTATAAGGAAGAAATCTGGTTTCATTTTAGGAGGAAGGGGATGGGGGTTAGTACGTGGGGATACTAAACACTAGAGGCGTTTTTAAAAACTGCGGGGCCTGGGTCTTACAGAGGACTACACGGAAAATCTGCTCCAGCTGCACGATGCTGAGATCGTGCGCTTAAGAAACTACTATGAGCTTCACAAGGAACTCTTCGAAGGCGTCCAGAAGTGGGAAGAAAGCTGGAGACTTTTCTTGGACTTTGAGGTACGGCCCTAGCTTCTGTTCCCCTAGAGTGCGGTCGGCCGTTCCCGCCCGCCGCGTGCAGGGTCAGCGTCCGCTCCGCTCTTGGCCAGGGGTCTGACACCCGGGCTTCAGCACGAAGTCCTGAGTTGCGGCTGACCCAGCTGTGTATGCCCAGCTCCCATGCGGGAGCAGAGGAGAGCGGAATTACTGCCCTCAGTGAGGTCGGATTCCTGCAAAAAGAAGTCCGGGCTAGAACACGCAGGGCAGGCACGGCTGTTCCACAGTCCTCTGTGTCCCCGGCTTCCCCACCACTAAGGGGCGGACCTGACCTCAGGTTCAAGGTGGCGCTGGAGCGCCCCCTGCTGCACGTCAGGCACTGCCCCTCTGCTTGCGGGCCACACCCGGGGCTGGAGAGCCGGGGGAGCCACTGCTGCAGATTCGGGTTCTCCGAACCAAGGACGGGGGACACGGATGTGGGGTGGCAGTTACTGTTCGCTACCGTTGCAGCTGTTGCTGTCTTCTCAGAAGGTTGCCTGGGTACCGGGGCACGTCTGTATCGTCTGAATTCCTTTTCTTCTGACAGACTTGACTCTCACAGCTTTCCTCAGAGCTTTTCCAAGCTCAGGCATGGGGCATGGATGAGCCAGACGAGACGTGTAGGGCACACGGAGACTCATTCTCAGAGCTTGAAAGGGGCTGTGGGGGAATCTGAGCTCAACTCCTTCAGGGTTACAGCAGGGAAACAGGACTCGACTGGAGAGCCCCGTGTGAGGTCTCAGAGCTAAGAACAGATGTCCCAGGCCTCTGTTACTCCTTAACTTGTGGTTGGAAGCAGAAAGGAGGGGTAGTAAGTGTCAGTAAAGAGCCAGGTAAGTAAGCCTTACTGACATGCCAGTATTTAAGGAAAAATAAGAAACGAATTACCATCCCCTTTAGCTAGTGTTTACGGGCAGTCACCAGTCACGTGGTCTGGAAGGCAAACGGTTTCTTTACGAGCTTTGCCCCCAAACTGACAAGATTATTTCTAAAATTTTCTGATGATCTCCAATTTTTGAGTGTATAAATCTAATTTATATATACAAATTACATGCTTAAATTACTGCCCTGATATACTGTATACCTGATACAGTAACAAAAACACAGAAAAGAAGCCCAACACTTGACATGTTAAAGTTGCCTATTTTGTGAGTGTTAATTTCATAAAAAAACAGATTATAAACCTCTTAGCCGGACACATTTAAGCTGCATCGTCAGCATGCTAGAAGTGAGTGGGCAAGCAGGGACGCCACCACCAAGCCCTCCCGAGTGTAGACCCCTCCCTTGTCGCTCCACATATCTCATTCCCTAGAGGTGACAAGTCGTCTTTGACATCTGAACCACGGAAGAGAGCCAATGACATTGTGCATTACATATTAAAGCCTATTTTTTATTTTTAAAAAAAGATTTTATTTATTTGAAGTGGGGGCAAGGGGAAGAGCACAAGCCAGGGGCAGAGGCGGAGGGAGCGGGGCTCAATCCAGGACCCTGTGATCATGAACTGAGCTGAAGGCTTAAGCCACTGAGCCATCCAGGCACCCCCCATCTTAGATTAGAAAGGAAACCGTAGTTTTCCTACACACCAGTGGGTGATGGCGCATATGCCTGTGGTGCTCACAGCCCACTCTCCTGTCTTAGGACATCACTGCCTCTCACTGCGGACAGTGGGTGGGAATGCAGAACTCTGAGAGTTTCCGTAGTATGTATCAGTTTATGAGAGCGAGGGATCTTAGCAGCAGTTTCCGGTGTGATCATCTCAGGGCCTACTCTAATTAAAAGGTATTTTTCACAGAGAAAAGCTTCAGATCCAAGTCGATTTACAAACCGTGGAGGAAATCTTCTAAAAGAAGAAAAGCAACGAGCCAAGCTTCAAAAAACACTCCCCAAGGTAACGTCGCCACGAACAGTTTTTGGTGCTTGGCTACAAAACACCTTACTGTTTGTAAATCCTCTGCTTTGAATTGTCTCGCCCCAGAACTGTCCTCTCTTCCAAGGCTTAGGCAAGGATGGCAGGTATATGCCAAGCCTTCCTGGTGGAAGCATCTGAATATCAAGGTTTCGTAACTTTCTTGAGCTGCCATAGCAAAGTGCCATCAACTGTGGGGCTTCAACAACAGAATTTTTTCACAGTCTGGAGGCTAGAAGTCTGAGATCAAAGTATCAGCAGGGCCGGTTTCTTTTTTTTTTTTTTTTAAGATTTTATTTATTTGACAGAGAAAGAGCACAAGCAAGCAGAGAGGTAGGCAGGCAGAGAGAGAGGAGGGAAGCAGGCTCCCCACTGAGCAGGAAGCCCGATGTGGGGCTCGATCCCAGGACCCTGAGACCATGACCTGAGCTGAACGCAGAGGCTTAACCCACTGAGCCACCCAGGCGCCCCAGGGCTGGTTTCTTCCGAGCCCTATCTCTGACTTGTGGATGACTTGCCTTCTCCCTGAACCTTCACCTGGCCTCCCTTCTGTATCTGTGTCCACATTTTCTCTTAACAAAGCCACCAGTGAATGTTGGGTTAGGAGTCGTGGGAATGTCCTCACGCCCCCCAGTGACGTCACTTTAAACTTCATTACCTGTATGTCCGGATAAAGCCACATTCTGCGGCACTGGGAGTTAGGACTCAAACTTGAATTTGGGAGGATGCAGTTTGGCTTACAACATAAGGCAGGCTTTTGAGAAAGTGCCGTGGGCTTCCTCACTGGTGCTTTTTTTTGTTTTGTTTTAAGATTTTATTCATGTATTAGAGAGTGCAGAGCGGTGGGGCAGGGGAAGGCAGGAAGCAGAGCTTCCTTCTTGCTGAGCAGAGACCCCAGCACAGGGCCCAGTCCCAGGACCCGGAGAGCATGACCCAAGGCGTAGGCTGACGCCCAACTGAGCCACACAGGCGCCCCTACTGTTGTCTACCTTATAACTTATTTATTTTTTTTTTGGTATAAATAGTTTGTACTATTTTTTAAAGATCTTATTATTTGACAGAGAGATCACAAGTAGGGAGAGAGGCAGAGAGAGAGGGGGAAGCAGGCTCCCCGCTGAGCAGAGAGCCCCACGCAGGTCTCCATTCCAGGACCCTGGGACCATGGCCCGACCTGAAGGCAGAGCCACCCAGGTGCCTCCTGTTATCTATTTTAGTAGAAGTAATTGTTAGTATAGTTGCGTTAAGTGCTGGATACTGTTGCAAAGTGCTTTCCATTTATTAATCATTCGTTGTCACCACCTCCTTAGGACGTTAGGATCATTTCCATTTTTATAGATGAGGAGACGTCCTGAGAGCTTCAATAACTCGCCCGCCTTTTCACAGCCACTGAGAAGTAGATCCGGCTGTGAACCCCGAGGCTGCGCTCTCAACCCGCTCTGCCCACTTCACGTTGCTGCGTCCAGCTTTAGGCACCAAAACCCTAGTTAGACTCTGGGTTCTTGCCTTCTCCCCCCTTCCTGTGTGTTAAGAATAAACCATCCCGGGGCGCCTGGGTGGCTCAGTGGGTTAGGCCGCTGCCTTCGGCTCAGGTCGTGATCCCAGGGTCCTGGGATCGAGCCCTGCATCGGGCTCTCTGCTCTCTAGAGGAGCCTGCTTCCTCCTCTCTCTGCCTGCCTCTCTGCCTGCTTGTGATCTCTCTGTCAAATAAATAAATAAAATCTTTAAAAAAAAAAAAAAAAAGAATAAACCATCCCTAGGCTGTGCTCTCTGGTCACTCTGACCTGTACCCTCGTGGGTCCAGCGACTTGACGTTCTGCTCCCGGTGCTCTGGGGCGGGGTCCTCCTTTGGGGGAATCATTCCACGCGGGCTTCACCAAAAATTAGTGGTAATCAGTGTGTCCTTGTCTACGATCCCAGCTGGAAGAGGAGTTGAAGGCACGGATAGAAACGTGGGAACGGGAGCACTCGAAGGCGTTTGTGGTGAACGGGCAGAAGTTCATGGAGTACGTGTCGGAGCAGTGGGAGGCGCACCGCCTGGAGAAGGAGCGAGCCAAGCAGGAAAGAGTGAGCAAGCACAGTGGGGACGAGGACGGGGGTGTGAGCAGCCCAGGGTCTCTGCCGGGGGCGGGGGTGGTGGCGGCTGGAGGGGTGGCCCTGGGTACGGGGCTGGACACTCCACTTCTGGCCCTGCTTCTGTCCCATCTCAGGCCTCTTCCCGTCCTGAGATTTATGGCTGTTGCTTCTGACTTTCACACAGCAACTCAAGAACAAGAAGCAGACAGAGACTGAGATGCTGTACGGCAGTGCTCCACGCACCCCCAGCAAGCGGCGGGGACTGGCCCCCAACACGCCCGGCAAAGTGCGTAAGGTGAGCGCGGGGCTCTGCAAACCGCCCTTATGGGGCTCTCGAGGCCACGGCTCTTGGCCACCTCTTGCCTCCTGCCCCACAGAGGGGGAAGGGTTTCTTGGGCCTTCCGGGTTAGGTTCCTCTAAACGTATGAACGGAAGACAGCCCTTACCCCGGTAGCAACTTATAACGACAGTCACGGCCTGGGCAGTTCAGATGTGTGCCTGTTGTTGAGGTCTTGGGTGGGTTAAACTTGGGGACCCCGGACCGCAAGTTTAGTAAATGGAATATCCGGTATTCTTCCATCGCTGGAGCAGAAGTCAGGGAGGAATGTGACCTTGTCTTTGATAAAGGAAGTAGAACTTTACTTCTCAGCTCATATTTTACAACATACGATAGTTTAAGAATCATCTGCAGGGGCGCCCGGCTGGCTCCGTCGGTAGAACACGTGACTCTTGATCCCAGGCCGGGAGTTCAAACCCCATGTTGATGGCAGAGCTTACGTAAGAAAAAGAAGAAAAAGTCACCTGCAAAAACTCCCAAGAGAATATTTGGTGTTTTTCCTGATTTTAAAAAAGCTTATAAAGAGTTTTTATTTGTTTGACATAGACACAGTGGGAGAGGGAACACAAGCAGGGGGAGTGGGAGAGGGAGAACAGGCTTCCCTCTGAGCAGGGAGCCCTATCTGGGGCTCCATCCCGGGATCATGAGCTGAAGGCAGCCGCTAAACCACTGAGTCACCCAGGCGCCCCAAAAAGGCTTTTAAATAATGTATTTTTATGGGGCACCTGGGTGGGTTAAGTCAGTGGGTTAAGCCCCTGCCTTCAGCTCGGGTCATGATCTCAGTTTCCTGGGATCGAGCCCGTGTTGGGCTCTGCTCAGTGGGGAGCCTGCTTCCCTCTCTCTCTCTCTCTGCCTGCCTCTTTGCCTACTTGTGATCTCTGTCAAATAAATAAAATCTTTTAAAAAAAATGTATTTTTACAAAATAGAGATCACATATAATTTGGATCTCTCCCTCACCCTACTGGGTTTATTGCTTGTGATTTTTTTCATAGCATCAGACATTCTTCAAATACATGCTTACTGTTAGCTGTACCTTCTGTCCTCTTGCCATGCTATCATTTATTAAACTAGCTCCCTATTTTTACATAGTTTTTAAAGATTTGATTTTTAAGATTTATTATCTTAAAGAGAGTGCATGCCTGTGCTCGAGGGGGGTGGGGAGGGGCAGTGGGAGAGGGAGAGAATCTCAAGCAGGATCTAGCGCAGAGCCCAGCCCAGAACTCAGTCCCACGACCCTGAGATCATGACCATAATCGGAGTCAGATGCTCAGTTGACTGAGCCGCCCGGGTGCCCCTACCTAGAGGGTTTGTTTTGTTTTGTTTAATTTTACTGAGTCAAATTCGCAGATAAAGTGTATACTTTCATAAGTTTTGACATACGTATACCCCATGAAACCATCACCACTGTCAAGCCCGTGGCAGCCACAGCCTTGCTGTCGCCACTGACTAGTTTGCTTTTTTTCTTTTAAGATTTTTATTATTTTTATTTATTTGACAGATCACAAGCAGGCAGAGAGGCAGGTAGAGAGAGAGGGGGAAGCAGGCTCCCCACTGAGCAGGGAGCCCGATGCGGGGCTCGATCCCAGCACCCTGGGATCACGACCCAGGCCGAAGGCAGATGCTTAACCCACTGAGCCGTCCAGGTGTCACAAGTTTGCATTTTCTAACACGCTATATGCGTGTGGTTATATAGTACGTATGCCTTTCCGGTCTGGCTTCTTTCATGTGCGATTCATCCGTGTTGCTGCACAGGTAACAGGTCAGTCCTTTTTAACGGGGACCAGTATCCACTGCACGACTGGACCGCAATTCGCTTATGTGTCTGGGGGTGGACGTTAGGCTTGTTGGTGGGGTTTGGGCTGCTGTGAAGCGGCTGCGTTTGTACACAGGCCTTTGCATGGCTCTGCTTTCCTTCCTCTTGTGTAAATATCTAATCTGCTAGGTTTAGAAGCAAAATGGCTCTGCCATTTTATAGTTAAATCTGGATAGAAATCGGCTTTGAACACTTACCACAGGTCTCCTCAAAGCTCTGAGCCATGGAAACCCATCTTGGACTTTTTCCTCTGTTCCTTCCTCTGTGGTGCCGGGCAGGCTACTGAGCGTGTTCGAAGTGTTCTCTTCTCCCATTCTTCTCCGTAGCTGAACACGACCGCCATGTCCAATGCTACAGCCAACAGCAGCATTCGGCCTGTCTTTGGGGGGACAGTCTACCGTTCCCCCGTGTCTCGGCTTCCACCTTCTGGCAGCAAGGTCAGTATGCTGTGCGCACAAGGACATCACCACCACGGCTCCAGCCCGCTTACCCGCACGCCCCACCTGCTTGTGCCACGTTCTAAGATCCCTGGACTCAGTTTCCCTTGAGATGCTGAGAATAAGCTAGCTTATCCGTTGAACATGAGAGAGAGAATGGTCATTCTGAACCCCAGTAGGATCATGGGAGTTACTGGGATAGGATTCTGGGGGCTCAGTTCATACCTTGGGCTTCAGCTGCTGCTGAGTGAGGTCCCTGTGCGTGGGTTCCAGTCCAGCCACCCTGGATCGCAAGACAGTCGGGGACAGTCACGTAAGGAGAGGTGGAGAAGATGTGCTAAATGTGTCTTTCAAGTATTTTACAGACAGGCTCGAGACAGGTCCTCTGCACATCATTAAGAATTCCTGCAGCTTTTAAAACCACAAGTAGAGTCATCAATAATCCAGAGACGTTACTAGCCTTTGGCCACTTGTGTCTGTGTGCGCGCACGTGCGTCCCTGCTTAGCATGATGCCCAGACCTCTCTCTCCTCTGCAGCCGGTCATCACTTCCACTTGTTCGGGGAAAAAAACCCCCCGTGCTGGGAGGCATGGAGCCGACAAGGAGAACCTGGAGCTCAATGGCAGCATCCTGAGCGGTGGGTACCCTGCCTCGGCCCCCCTCCAGCGCAACTTCAGCATTAATTCCGTTGCCAGCACCTATTCTGAGTTTGCGGTAATTCACCTTTTCTGATATCTGCCAGTCTCTGGGGAGCACACAGTTGGGGCAGAGTGGGTTCCTTCCCAAGGGCACCCAGATAATTAGGACAGTTCTTTGGAGGCTGAGAATCCCTTTCCTGCCTTGACCGTGGCACGGGGTCGGGTGGTTTCGGGGATAGAGAAGAAGGAAAGTGGCAGCGGCAACGCGACATTTAACCTCGATCCTCCTGCTTAAGAAATACCATTCCCTGGCTGCAGGAGGTGACCCTTCTGATCACTGCCCTGGTGCTCTCTTGGTGGAGTTCTTGGTAATTGTCTCAATTCTTTGTTCTTAGAAGGATCCGCCCCTCTCTGACAGCTCCGCTGTTGGGCTTCAGGTCTGTATGGCAACCCCTGCATGTCCCATGGCCATTTTCCAAACTCACCTGTCACATCTGCTCGCTTAACTCCCGTCTGGGCACGGAGCTCCACTAACTGATCATCTCAGCTGTACTCTCGTAGAGCCCCCCCCCCGCTTTTTTTAAACAAAGGAAGCAGGAATTCCTCCCATCCAAGTACTAACCAGGCCCGACCCTGCTTAGCTTCCGAGATCAGACGAGATCGGGCGCGTTCAGGGTGGTATGGCCGTAGACGGAAGCAGGAATTCCTAATGCGGAAATCAAAACTACTTTCTGACTTCAATCCTACAACACCCTAACCTGCTGATTAACAAGAACACCTGTTCAGACTTGAATTGGATTCTCAGCCCTACCTAAAGTCAGGCAAATTTTTTTTTTTTAAATCACTGTTTCACACCCGAAGACCTTCACCCTCCCCAGTTGTGACCTCAGAGGCCTCCAGTGTGCTGGAGAGAACAGAGGCCCCATCACGCGGGGAGGGGAGCCCCAGCTGTGTGCTGCGTGTCGTGAGGTTCTTGGCCTGTGTGCTGATTATGTCCTGGAGTATGTGCCTTACTAACCCTTTCGGGCTCACCTGCCAACTTTCTGCCACGGGCTAGCCGGTGCTCCTTTCCTAGCCTCTGCCTGTTCCTACCACATCAAGCTGCTAAAGCATCATGTGGCATTGAAAAAGCGATTTTCCAGACACTCTTTGTTCCTAGTAACCTACTCCGTCTTCACTAACCCTTAACTGCAGCGCCCTTAACAGCACGTGTTCTCTCCTCCCTCAGTGTCTTCCTGTGGGGAGGGGAGGCTGCTCCTCACGCGGGGCGGGGCGGGGGGGGGACACGCTGGCGCACAGCCAGGGGTTCCGCTCTTGGTGCTGCAGTGGCGGGGAAGGGGGCGGTTGGCCAAGGCTAGAGCTGGTCTGGAACACTGGAACTAGCTTCATATTATGGCGCTTTTTTCAAGTGACATCACTGCGCGTGTGGCTCCGGCGAGCCGCCTGCTGCACAGAGGGGGCTGCGTGCTCCTGCCTGCCTAGCCCGGCCCCGCGGCACCCACTTGGGCGCACCTGCTCTTACGGCAAGGCCACGGGTGGGAGGTTTGTCTGGTTTGGGTTGCTGTGGCCCATGCCCTCCCGCAGGCGGCACCCAAGCCGGTAGACTAACCTCTCCTAACCTCTCTCTCGGGGCTCGTTCATGCTTTACCCTCTTCTGTTCCATGTGCTCCAGCAGGAGATCAAATCACCAGCAGGTTCCAAGGCCCTCGGCCCCAGGGATTGGTAGATAGAGGGTCTGGCCCCGAGCTTTATAAAGGGCTCAAAGACCAAAGGTTGTTGCCTGCCTAGCTTGACGACTCGAGAGAGTACTTCGTGGAGCGTAAGGGATTTCTGTGCTGGGAGGTTCTGGCGGAATGTACTGGCTCAGGAGAGGGGTCCGGGGTCCACGGCACATGCTTATCTACGGCTAATAGCACGGTGCTCAGGCTTTCGTCTTACGTCCCTAACACAGCCTGTGCTGGCGAGGGGCCTCGGGCTCAGAGAGTCATGTACCCGTGCTTCCCAGGACGGGGGTGTGTGTGCCGGAGAGGGGCCGCACTGCCATTGACATTATTTATTTTTCAACAGCGAGAACTTTCAAAGGCTTCCAAATCTGATGCTGCTTCTCGAATCCTCAATTCGACCAACATCCAGTCCTGAGAAGCCCTGATCAGTCAGCCGCTGTAGCTTCCTGTGCCTAGACTAGACCTGATTATGTGGGGGGGGGCCTGGATTTTTCTTGAGTTTAGGTTCCACTACCCTGGGCCTGACTGACAGAAGTGATTGTTACAGATGAAAACCCACCAGAGGGTTCAGTGGGTCTTCAAAAACTTGATGTTGTTTTGACCCAAGAAATACATCCAATCTTAGTTCATAGCGGTAAGTGCAAATTTTAGCAGATGGAACCTAACTGCTTTCTCTGCCCCGTAATTCTATTGCTGAAGCCCGACCAAGGGCTTGTTGTGTTTTACCATCGTGCCCATCCTTGGGGCGTGGGGCACGAAGAACTACTGGCCTGTACCCTTATAATTAGAGATGGACATCTTGTTGGACAGGGAGACTGGGGCTCCTTTGTTAAATGGTGTAGAATTCTGTTATATGGTGCAATGGCCTACGTGTGGAGACGTGTGTACGGACACGCATGCTTACCTGAACTCCGCTTCTTTAGTTTTCTCCGGGTTGAGGTGCCGGCGTTCGTCTGTCCCCTGCTGTGGGGCTGGGCTGGGCTGTCTCTGTCCCGGAGATCGGGAACTTTGCACATGTCAGTACTGGGGAGTTGTTCCTGCTACAGCGTCCGCATCTTCACGTACCCTGGCGATCACTACTGCTCTCCCCCAAGCACTATTTATTCTTCCTCTGCCTGCCTGGGCCAGCACTACTGTCTGCACACTCAGTGGTTCTCGAAAGCTTACCGGCATGGGTTTGGTCTGTGTCAGCCATGCTGCTTAGACGTATACATGTCCTGTTTTTAAAAATACAAATATATTCTTAAAAATAAATTAATGTGTATACTTACCTTTCAAAAAGATACCTGGTGGTGTTTGTTTTTTTCTCAAATCATTTTTTGGTCAGTTTGGTCTGTGGAAAACAGAAAAGACTAAAAGAACATACAAGAAATTTTTAGTCAGGAGTGTGATTTTTATATCCTTTTATGCACTTATTTCTAAATAAAAAATAATTTTTATTTTGAGAAAAGTGTGAGACCAAAAGTCCAACTCTTGATATATAAAGGGGCTGAAGCCCTATTCGGAAATTTCTGGCTGCACTGTTGTCGGTCCTTAACAGGATTAGCTTGTATAGGGGGAGGCTGCCTGGCCTTTTGGTTTTTTAACAGCCTTTATTTTGATTAGAAAATACATATTTGAAGTGTACACTTGGATAAATTTTGATATTGCCCCAATCAAGCAAGTCCTGTTATTCTAGGTTTTGCGACTATCTCCCAGTCTGTGGCTTCTCTCTCCATTCTTTTAACGGTGTTTCTGAAGAACAGACGGTTAACTTTGATGACGTCCCATTTTTCTTTAGATTGTATGTGTGTTGAAATTGTAAGAAATCATTACCCAACCCAAGAGGTGGTGGTTTTCTAGAAGTTTAAAATTGTAGGTTTTGCGTTTATGTGTGCGATCCATTTCGGCTGCCTGCGCTCATGTGCGTGGCTCCAAGTACGACCACCCACAGATGTCAAGTTGTCTAGCAACAGGAGCTGAAAAGCCTTTCCTTTCTCTACCGCATTGCCCCTGTGCTGCGGTCAAAACTCCGTGCATCCATCTGTCCTGATTACTAAAGACTTAATTCTTGAAACAAGGTGGTATTAGCTTTCTGGTTTTACTTTTTTGTTGTTTTTTCCATTTTTAGCATTTAAGTAGGCTCCACACCCCACGTGGGGCTTGAACTCATGACTGAGATCAGGAGCCGCACGCTCTACCTACTGCGCCGGCCCGCGGCTTAGACCTTCTTTAAAAGTCACTCTGGCTGTTCTAGGTCCTTTGCATTTTCATATGAATTTCAGAATCAGCTTGTCAGTTTCTACAAAAAATCGATTATTGAATCTACAGATCAATTTAGAGAGAACGGACACATCTCTCCATTTCCTTAGGTTTTCTCTCACGGATTTTATAGCTCATACTTACAGATCTTCCACATCTTTGTCAGATATGTTCCTAAGTGTTTCATATTTCTCGAGGCGACTGTGATATTTTAGAATCCCAGCTCCTGGCTGTTGCCTGCCTGCGGGACCGCAGCTGAGCTCTCTACACCGCCCCCGACCGCCCCCGTACCCTGCTTGCTAAACTCACTTATTAGAAAGAGGGGCGGCGCCGGGCGGCTCAGTGGGAGGAGGTGCGACTCCGGATCTCAGGGCTGTGAGTTCGAGCCCCATGAGGAGCGCACAGATTACTAAAGAGGGAAAATGATCATCTTTGCAAATGGGCTCTGTTCGGGCACACTCCTGCGTGGCTTAGCCGTGAGACAACTCTGGAGACTTCTCTACTGCTTGATCACGTGGAGCCTAGAGACAGCCAGAGTGAAAGCTCGAGGTTTTCTCAGGCTTTTCTGAGCGTCTACGCCAGCCCTAGATGCGGACTGAGCTTTCTCAGGTTCTCAGTACACGGGGGCGCTTTAAGAGGCCTTCACCTACATACTTCCTTTCCCAACTTCCCTCTTCCCAGGCTTTTTGGCATGTCTGTTGTCCGTCCCAGCTGTCGGCCCTCGTCCAAGCTGCTGCGGCCAATTCTCGTGTCCTTAAATACTTTCGGCCTGAGCCACCGAGCCTTGGAGACACAGACTCTGGCAAAGCGAAGGCCAGCTCTTACACTGGTCTTTCAGGGAAACGCCAGAGGTCGAAATCCAGTCACAGTTCTTTGAAAAGGACTTTATTTCTCCCTCTGGTGCCACAAACATGCACCAAAAATGCGAGCTCTTGTCCTCATTACCGGCCCCCGCGTCAGGTGTGGCGGGCCGGCGAGGTAAGGTGTCAGCGCGCTTACCCACCCGCAAAGCATCAGCTCCTCCCTCTGGTCGCTGGAAGGTTTTGACGATTTCTGGAGCTCTCAAAAGTGGACTCTGCCATGGGGCGCCTGGGTGGCTCCGTCATTAAGCGTCTGTCTTCAGCTCATGATCCCAGGGTCCTGGGATCGAGCCCCGCATCAGGCTCTCTGCCGGGTGGGAAGCCTGCTTCTCCCTCTCTCTCTCACTGTGTCTCAATCAAATAAATAAAATCTTAAAAAAAAAAAAAAAAAAGGAGGACTCTGCCAGTTTCTGCCAGTTCATTAGCTGCTCTTGTGAAAGGCAGAGCCTGGGACTTCTACACCATTTTCAGTGACCTCCCAGTTCTCAATGTTTATGCACCTAAAACAGCTTCAACATGCACAAAGCAAAAACTGACAGAACTGATAGGAAAAAATGGACAAATCTACCAGATAAAAAATAGTAAAGGCTCTAGAAGAAACTGATCCCACCACTAACCAGCCGGGCCTGGCTGCAGACCGCCGCCCAGCAACCGCAAAAGAAACAAAAGGGGAAAAAAAAACATGTTCTTTTGTAAAGTGCATATGGAATAGTCACCAAAATAGGCCACATTCTGGGTCATAAACTGTAGCACATTTTTTTTTTTAATTTAAAGACTTCTCCCAAGAGCCTGTGTGCACAGAGGGGCACAGGGAGAATCCCCAAGCAGACTCCCCCTTGAGCGTGGAGACCAAAGCGGGGCTCGATCTCAACCCATGAGGTCACGATCTGACCCAAAAGCAAGAGTTGGACGGACGCCAGAGCCACCCAGGCATCCCACATTTTTAAAAAATTTAAGTGATCAAAATGTTCTCTGACCAGAAAGGAATTAAACCACAGCAGCCAAAAACCCTTTCAGAAAATGTCCAAATACAATCTTTAAAAAGAAAGTTTCGAGTGAAATTCACAGATATTTTGAACTGAACAAAAATGAAAATACTGAGGCGCCTGGGTGGCTCAGTGGGTTAAGCCTCTGCCTTCAGCTCAGGTCATGATCTCAGGGTCCTGGGATCGAGCCCCGCATCAGGCTCCCTGCTCAGGGAGGGTTTTATTCAACAGCGAGCAAGCACGAGCCTCGGCAGGGGCAAAGGCAGGGACGCAGGTCTCCAAACTCGGGATCCCAAGATCAGAACCCAAGCCGAAGTCAGACATTTAACCGAGCTACCCAGGCAACCCTCACTCCCAGGTATTAATATCCGATTGGAACATGTCCACACACAAATGCATGTATGACCGCTTACCACACTATTCGTAACAGCAAAAAAGCAGAAATCATTCAACTGTTCATCCGCTGGCGGAAGGATAAACGAGTCTATCCCCGCAACACCGCGCAGCCGTGGTAGGAACACACGCGACAACAGAGACGAACCTTGAAAATGCTGCGCTAAGTCAAAGAACCCCGACACGGAAAGCCGTACGTTGTATGATCCCATTTATGTGAAACATCTAGAATAGGCAAATCTTTGAAATAGGAAAGGAGAGCGGTGATCCAGGGGCTAGCGGTAATGGGCGTGGTTGCTTTGGGGGCTTAGGAGAATGTTCTGAAACTAGATTGTGGCGATGGCTGTTGCACACCATTGAGAATGTACTAAAAACCACTCGGTTGTGTAGCTTAACACGGTGAATTCCACGGTATGCAAACAGTATAATTTTCAAATTCTATCACTGTAATCTACCATATTGATAAACCAAAGAAGAAAATCCACACGATCCTATCAATTGATGCAGAAAAGCATTTGACAAAGTCATGATAAAAACTTCCAGAACGGGGTGCCTGGGTGGCTCAGTTGGTTAAGCAGTTGCCTTTGGCTCACGTCATGATTCCAGGGTCCTGGGATCAAGCCCCACATCGGGCTCCTTGCTCAGCAGGGAGCCTGCTTCTCCCTCTCCCTCTGCCTGCCTCTCTGCCTACTTGTGCTCTCTCTGTGTCAAATAAATAAAATCTAAAAACAAAAAACAAAAAAAACCTTCCAGAACATTGGGGAGGGTATGTGCTATGGTGAGTGCTGTGAAGAATGTAAGCCTGACGATTCACAGACCTGTACCCCTGGGGCAAATAGTACATTATATGTTAATTTTTTAAAAAAGACAAGAAAAAAAGCATAGCAGGACTGAGACTGCCAGCTTAGAAATGTATGCTTGCAAGGTCAGCCTCTGGCTGGCATCTGGGAATCTGGCGCTCAGAGAGTCTCCAGCATTAGGGGTGGCTCGCTGTGCCTAGACTGCTGGTGTGGGGCGCTATGTCTTAGGCTGAACATTTGCTCCCCCGCTGGGAATTCCGTACAGGGTAAGCAAAGGGTGCCGATGCGACAGCCGCCCATAAACATTGCGTGCTGAGTCTCTAAATGGGCTTCCCGGGGGCAGAAGGCCTGCACAGACATTGCTGTATTTTCACTGCTGGAAGGGTGGGTTCTGGGTGAGCCCTCCTGTGAGGGAGGAAGCCCAAGTAAGCCTGCACGTGGGTTCTGTCAGGCTTTGCCTGTGTTCGTCTCCCTTACGACCCAGCTCTGTACCCTTACTGTGTCCCTGTAACAAAGCTCCGCTATGGGTACAGCCATATGCAGAGTCCCAAAGCTGCTAAAGAATGGCCACTAGGGGGGCGCCTGGGTGGCTCAGTGGGTTAAAGCCTCTGCCTTCGGCTCAGGTCGTGATCTCAGGGTCCTGGGATCGAGCTGCACATCGGGCGGGCTCTCTGCTCAGCAGGGAGCCTGCTTCCCCCTTCCCTCTCTGTCTGCCTCTCTGCCTACTTGTGATCTCTGTCACATAAATAAATAAAAAATCTTAAAAAAAAAAAAAGAATGGCCACTAGGGGTCGCGCTGGGGGTCTCTACTGCATCCTTTAAGTCCCGTGTCCTCTGTAAATTAGCAGGGACAGACTCTCCCGGAGGCTCAAAGAATCAAGCATAGAGGCTTACAGCTTATAGAGACTTACTAAATGAAAATAAACTTTACCTAGAATTAAAAAAAAAAAAAAAAAAACTTCCAGAAAATTAGGGGAAAAAAGAATGTTCCTTAAACTAATGAATGGCATCTACCAAAGTCAACTCACAGGTAACACACGATGACTCAAGGCTGCGTGCCTTCCCCCGGAGCTCACAAGCAAGCGGTCTACTCTCTCTACGCCTGTGGAATACGATCCCGGAACTCCGAACCAGTGCAACACGGCAGGAAGAAAGACACGACGCACAGACTGGAACGAAGACATTAAACTATCTTCATTCACAGACATCATGAGTGTATGGATTCCAAGGAACTTACAAAACACTCCCATTGGTCTAGCAAGGCCATGTAACACCAGGTTAACCTACAAAATCAACCTCATTTGGAAACACTAGCAATCAACAATCGGAAACTAAAATTCGGAAAACAGCACTTAAAATAACTCCAAAACAACAAACTAGACTTAGGTATAAATCAAAACTCATATTAGCATCTGCGGAAAACTGCAGGACACTGATGAAAGAGAAAAGCCTGAGTAGATACACGATGCCCTTGGAGGGGAACATCTGTTCTCCCCCAGGCGATCTGTACATCTAAGGTGGTTCCATTCAAAATCCCACCGGAATGTTTTTGGTAGATACAAACATGTTAGCCTCCGTTATATGGAAACAGAAACTAGAAAAGCCCAAGAATTTTTAAAAGAACCAACTCGGAGGAATCCCCCGTCTAATTTGAGGCTAGTTCTACGGCTCCCGCAACCAAGGCAAAGCAGCGTTGATTGGTGAAAGGACAGAAACAGGTCAGTGAACAGAACAGTGAGTCTGTGGGCGCCTGGGTGGCTCAGTGGGTTAAGCCTCTGCCTTCGGCTCAGGTCATGATCTCAGGGTCCTGGGATCAAGCCCCGCATTGGGCTCTCTGCTCAGCGGGGAGCCTGCTTCCTCCTCTCTCTCTGCCTGCTTCTCTGCCTACTTGTGATCTCTGTCAAATAAATACATAAAATCTTTAAAAAAAAAAAAAAAAAAGACAAGAAAAACCAGCGAGTCTACGAAGACCCACAAAACCGTGGTGAAATGGTTCCTGGAGAAGGCGCGAAGGCAAGACAGGGCCGTGTTCCCAACAGATGCTGCTGAGCCACCCGAGAGTCACACGCCAAACGGCTCTCCTTTGCCTCGCTCCTCCCAAGGCAAAACTTAGATCAAAGACCTAAACATAAAATCCAAACCAGTATTTATTTTAGAACAGAAAATACTCATGGTATTCGGTTGGGCAGAGTTCTTAGGACATCAAAAGCATCCATAAAAGGAAACAATGGCAAGTCAGACTGGAGCCACTTTTAAGACTTGGCTTTGCACAAGATACTGTTCAGAGATGGAAGAGGCGGGCTACCAACTCGGACTAAGCGTTTGCAAGTCCCGTATCTGATGAAAGGAGGCCTGTATCCGGAATATATATATATATTTTTATTTTATTTTTTTTTAAGATTTTATTTATTTTATTTGACAGAGATCACAAGTAGGCAGAGAGAGAGAGAGAGGGGGAAGCAGGCTCCCCGCTGAGCAGAGAGCCCCATGCGGGGCTCGATCCCAGGACCCTGGGACCATGACCCGAGCCGAAAGCAGAGGCTTTTTAATCCACTGAGCCACCCAGGCGCCCCCGGAATATATTTTAAAACTCCCAAAATAGTCAAAGGAAACAACCGGGGGAGGGGTGCAAGCCCTATCAGGACAAAATGTCCTGGAGCGCTGGGGTGGCTCAGTGGGTTAAGCCTCTGCCTTTAGCTCGGGTCATGGTCTCAGGGTCCTGGGATCGAGCCCTGTGTGAGAGCCTGCTTCCCCCCCGTCTCGCTCTGCCTGCCTCTCTGCCTACTTGTGATCTCTGTCAAATAAGTAAATAAAATCTTAAAAAAAAAAAAAAAAGAACAAAATATCCTATAGCGCATCTACAATGCAATGTGGTGCGGACGAGCAGATCAGAATAGAAAGTCTAGAAACAGACACGAATACATACAGAACCCAGGTACAAGATAATGGTGCCATCTCCAGTCACTGGGTGTGGACATAAGGCTTAGCTGCTTGAAAAAAGATACAGATTAGGTAGAGGGTAGAATGATGGTTGCTGGGGGTGGCTGTGTGTGGCGGGGGTTGGGGACTTGGTGTTAAATGGGTATA